TACTTTCTCTGTTTTGATGAAAAAATTATCATTTGACATGGGCTGTCTTCTAAACCATAGAGCATTGTAAAACTAAAAATCATCATGTGTGATGAAATGATTAGAACTATGCACATAACATATGCATACTTTAACAGATTTGAGTGTTGCGCATGAAGATTCAAGTGTTATGCATGTAAAAGTAAGGGTTTAGTCGTTAAATATGTAAATATATAAGAATTATGTGGAATGTATGTAAATGGCCCTAGATATTTTCACATTGATTTTTCTTTCAGTTTTGCTATCCATGAATATAAACAATTAAATCCATGATTATAAACACTTTCATGTGGGGCTACTTTTGTTTCTCATTTGGTGATATGGTTGGATAGCATTTCAACTAATTATAGTTGCACTTTTTGTCTGGATTTTCTTCGGGTTGCTGATATGAACATACACTATTCTTGTTCTTTTGTTTTTCTGCTAAGTTCAAAGGTATGAGTTTTATACATTTGCATATCTGCAGTTAATTGCATTTTGATGGAAATCAAATAAGAAAAACATATTTTGCAGTTGCAATTATTTCAAGAGGCATTTGTTGATATAAATATATACTATTATTGTTCTTTTATTTTTCTGGTAAGTTCAGATACTACAAAGCTATGTTTTGGTAAATTATGCTATTATGTGTTTTTCACCTAGCTATTCGTAAAGATTGCATTGGATTTGGATGTTGGATGATATGTAAATTTCGGCTATCTTCTTCATGGCCTTCTTTCTTTTCTGCTACTTTTTGTTTGTTGTTTCTCTAGTATAAGAACAGATACTTGTTAGCCATCTCTTTAGTCCATTATGACCACCATTTTTTTACATATTATACTTTCTCGGACATCACAAAAATTCATCATTTTGATTAGTTGATAATTTTTTTTAGAATTTTGATTGAATTCAAAATGAGGAGTGATTGAATTCAAAATAATTTTGATTGAATTCAAAATGAGGAGTTTTAAAATGGACCCAAATGCTTGCTATGTGATATTCAGCTAGATGTTTACAAAAATTGTATTGGATATTTGTTCTTATGCAGTTTTTGACACGAAATGCTTATTATTTGATTGAATATGAAACATTGGGTAGCTGTCACGTAGCTGTCAATTATGGAAGCGGGTCCATAAAAATTGATGTTTATGTGTTAGATGCGTGATTAATTTGATTGGAATGATAAATTTCATTGATAGTATTTTTCTATACCAAGATTTGGTTACAAATTATATGAAGTGATTTAAATTACACATTTTAGATGCTTAATGAAATGCATCCTTGCATCTAGAATGAGAAGACATGCTTATTGATATGAAATTGTTGCAATACATGCTTAGGACTGCTTATCGAGTCTAGGTGTATTTGAATTTAGTTTGTTCCTTAATCTTAGAAGTTAGTTGCTATTTTTTCTTGAATTTTGTTTCTTGTTCCTTTCTTGGCTGATTTTGAGGTCTTTTCTTAGAAGTTTGTTATTAGTTCCACGTTCAAAATATTGTAAGGCTACACAAAAGGTGTGGTTCTGATTTCTCTTCAATCTATAGCAAGAAATTTTAGTTTTTCCTTCTTTCTCATTTTCAAGAAACCAACAATTTGGTATCAGAGCACTCTTCTTAAGGGATCTATGCGTGAGTTTGAGCGGAAATGGAGATCGAAGCCAGTTTTTCCTCAGATGCTCCACCAGTATTTGACGGAGACAACTACCGGACTTGGGCAGTCCGCATGGAGACGTACCTGGAAGCTTTGGATCTCTAGGAAGCAGTGGAAGAAGACTATGACATTCCTCTTCTCCCTGAAAATCTCACCGTAACACAAATTAAAGCACAAAAGGAGAAGAAGACAAAGAAGTCCAAGGCAAAAGCTTGCCAGTTTGCTGCAGTTTCCTCTACGATCTTCACACGTATCATGTCGTTGAAAACGGCAAAAGGGATTTGGGATTATCTCAAATATGAGTAGGAAGGAGATGAAAGAATTCGAGGGATGCAGGTGCTAAACTTGGTTCGTGAATTTGAATTGCAAAAGATGAATGAGACAGAAATCATAAAGGAGTACTCTGACAGACTACTCAACGTAGTAAATCATGTCAAATTATTGGGTTCTTCTCTGGAAGATTCAAGGATTGTTCAGAAAAATCTTGTAACAGTGCCTGAAATATTTGAGACTACCATCACCACCTTAGAAAACACTAAGGATCTGTCAAAAATTGCTTTGACATAACTCTTAAGTACTTTACAAGCACAAGAGCAGAAATGTGTGATGAGGCAAGAATGAGCCGTCGAAGGAGCTCTTCCAGTCAAGCATCAAGATGATGAAAAGAATAGGAGGCCCAAGAACAAGAAGTTTCAAGCTACAAGTGGACAAAAGAAAGATTACCCTCCATGTCGACATTGTACCCTCCATGCCCTCCATGTCGACATTGTGGCAAGAAAGGTCATCCTCCTTTCAATCCAGATATTGATAAAAAATTCCTCAGTGTTGGTCAATTAATAGAAAAGGGATTCAAAGTAATGTTTATGTAGAAGGCTTGTGTGATAGAGGATGCTACAGGCCAAAGGATGTTTGAAGTTGAGATGGCAGGGAGAAGTTTTTCACTCAATCCAATGCAAGAGCAGGAGGTTTTTGGCTCTTTTCGCAATGAAAGTTCTGTAAAACATGCCCACTCATTAGAAGTTTCATTGATTAATGAGGGTAATGAAGGTCATTTAGATGATCTTACGATAATGAAGGAAACACTTCGAGTTAAAGATGAATAACTTCAGCAATTGGCCAAAGAATTACGTGCAAGAGATTCAACCATACGTGAGTTAGCAGACAAGTTAATTAAGACAGCTTAGGCTGTTGAAGTAGCCGCATCTGCAGCTCTTGCTATGGATAAAGAGAGGAGGCTTGCTTACACAGAAATTGAACGACTGACCAATGATTCAAATAAAAAACTTCAAGAAACCATTCTTAAGTTAAGAGAATCAGAAGAAAAGGTTGCAGCATTTAGCAAAGATAGAGAGATCCTGTTCAAGCAGAGAGACTCTGTTCTTCAAGAGGCATATTTTTGGCGTTCTAAGCTTGCAAAAACTAGAGAACATGTTGTTTTATTAGAAGCGATTGTAGTTCGAGTTGAAGAAAGCACCAGGGTTTCACAGGCAGATGTGGAAGCTTGATTAAAAGATGTCACTGAAAAAGCATTGTTCGCTGCAAAAGAAAAATAGGATCTATTAACATTTGTGACTGCTTTGCAATCTCAAATTCAAAGGCAACAAAGTTCCACAAAACAAGTGCTGAAAGAGAAACCCGAGTCAAGCTCAAGCTTCATCAAAACGGTGGCAATGACAAAACAAGCGAACTTGGAAGGTGATGTCGATAAATCTTGCTTAAGTGATTCAAAACTCATTCAGGTTTAGGTTTCTAGGTTTCTGGTGACAGCATGCCATTGACTACCAATGGTGTCGATATTTGTACCATTGTCATTTCTCATACCCTACGTTTCATGGGAACACTAAGCATTTCAACATAAAGTTATTTTTTCTAAGAGATGTGCAGAAAGAAGAATTTGTAACTCTGGTTTACTGAAAATCTTAAGATCAGTTGGCAGATTTGCTTAAAAAGTCACTTCCAATCAACAAGTTTGAGTTTCTAAAGCAGAAACTTGGTGTTCGCAGATCCTAAAGCAGGGAGTGTTGGAATACATGCTTAGGACTGCTTATTGAGTCTAGTTTTATTTGAATTTAGTTTGTTCCTTAATCTTAGGAGTTAGTTGCTATTTTTTCTTGAATTTTGATTCTTGTTACTTTCTTGGTTGATTTTTAGGTATTTTCTTGGAAGTTTGTTATTAGCTCCAAGTTTAAAATATTGTAAGGCTACACAAAAGGTGTGGTTCCGATTTCCCTTCAATCTACGGCAAGAAATTTTAGTTTTTCTCTTCTCTCATTTTCAAGAAACCAACAAAGATGATGCATATATTGAAGTGAAAGTTTATTTGTGGCATGCACATCAATTGACTTGCACATGAATATAAGAAGCATGAAAGCTTTAATACTGAAATGATTAAAGCTGTATACCACATTATGGCATATATCTTGAAGGTTTATGATTAGAGCTTTGTTGTTGATATTATTGAAATATTGATAATGAATGGGTGCTATACTTGTTTCTTATTTGGTGATATGGATGGATGCTTGGTTCATTCAGTTGTATTTTTCGGTGGAGCAATGATGTAAACCTAGCCGCATGTACTCAACCGGTTATCTTTAATGTTGGTCGTATTAGCCTGGGAAATTTTTAAATCAGACCAACTTGCCGGATAAGTAGAAAACTTTGGACGAAGTTGGCTGCATTAGCCTGGAAAATTTCTGACACGTGATAGCCTTTAAGAACCCTTAATTTGCCCACCTAGAGCGAGTAATTGAATCAACTTGATTTTAACTAACCAAAATTTTCTTATTACTAATAAAACATAAAGAACTTGTGATTCATAATTATTTAAATTTACTACTGTTAATTAATCACCTGCCTTGTGGGATTGTTTGTCTAGCAATTTGTGCCAAGAAAAATTCTCTTGGAGACCATGATTTAAATATACTTCCTTAGATTCTTGACCTTCATTTTTGTAATCTTCAACAGCATCTCGACCAAAAAATTCCACGAGTAAATTTAAATAAAGGGAAAAGATAGATTAGTTTTACAAATCAATATTCATTAGATAAGCAAAGAACACAAAAGTATACAGTTGAGTCTAAAAGAAACACAAGCCTGGCATAATGGAGACAATTTTATGGCGGCATGCCTCTCACCTCCGTTAACCTTAAAAAGGTCATTGGCGTCGCTTCACCTTTGTTTTCTAACAACTACGTGTTGTTCCCAAGTTTTGTCCACATTGGAATTCAACAATACAAAACAAACTACGCCAAATGGATTTCCTTCTCATAGATCATAGCATTAAATGGATTAAGGAAAATTCAAGGAAAATAAATTAAACCAAGACCACTCACTATGCTTGAATCTTTCATTAAATTCTGCATCTTTTTTCTCTTTATTCTCTCTTAAGATCTGCACGGAAGAACGTAATTATCGAGATCATGTGCAGCTTACAAAGCCGTAAAGCAAGTGAAAGTACATCCACATATTTAACGTTCTGAATATGCCAGTAAAATAATAAGAAATATCAAATAAACAGATCAAAATAGCCGAGAAACCATGGAGCAGGATTCTTTAAAACCGACCAAATGAAGCTATCATCTAACGAGAAAAATTAGATGAAGACAAGACACAAGGAAGTTGATTAATCCTATTTATTAAATTAATGTAATAGAAAATATTCCGGGCCGGCATATATTTAAAACAAAAGTTTATACATGCCATATTTGCATTACCATAAATTCATAAATATAAACTGCATAAAATGGCCTCCAAATCCTCACATCTAGAGCCGTAATGGTTATTTTTCAAAAGAATAGAGCATCAAGTGAAATGAAATATACAGTCGTGCAAGCAAAAACAACAAGAACACCTACTCTCCGCTCTCAAATTGTATTTTTCCTGAGGCAGGTTGGGCCTTGACGCTCCACTAGGTGTACCCTTATTGCTTGATCCTACAATGAATTCAGTTTGTAAGGTGAGGCGGTCACCTAGTGATGATGTTGTTTCTCCACCTTCAAAGCTAGGGCAGGTACATCGAGTAGGGACCAATATGGTTGCTGCTACGCCACACTACAAATAGATAACCTTAATCCTCCAAGAAATCCTATCATGTGTGCTCTTCTAGTTCCACCAACTCACCTTTCAACATGAGTTGCTCGAAATCAGTTATCTACCTCTCCACAGAAGAATCTCTTAGTGCATGTTATGGAGTTTTATGAACATATCATGTTGATAATGTGGAGGAAGGTATTTATGTTGCATCCCTTTTTTCATCTTAAAATAAGTAGTGATTTTATTGTTTCCCTCACATTGGCAAAGACACTTCAGATTCTTCCACCACGAAGAAGCATCCTTCCTGTGCTTGATGGCTGTAAATTCAACTTTATTATTCTAGAGAACATCTTCGTAATCAAAATTCAATTCACTGTTTAGAGTCACTCAATGAATTCATTCAAGTCCATGTGACCGTCAAATTTTGACAAATTCAACTTTCTCCAAGATCTTGGCTCCTCCTCCTATATTTTATATCAAATCGTTGAGATATTGATTCTTCATCACTAGAAACTTATTGATGGAAGAGATTCACGTCTACCCTCATTCTGACGAGCTACCTTTGTGACTATGAGTGACCTCATCAGGATGTTTTTTTTTAAAGGCGGCAAGTCTCTATTGATTTCGTAGGATTTCTCATTGTATATCCTCCGTAGTAAGTTCATGAACACCTCGTGAGGGTTTCTCCTTGGCAACGTAGCGACTTGTTCTTTCAATGGAAGTTTCAATGGAAAAGTAAAAGGTGATTTAGGGTAAGGTAAGTGATGAAGGGGAAAAAAAGTTGTAGGTCAAAGGTTGGTCGAGTGTTTAGAGTTTGGGTGATAAGCGTCAGGCCATATTTTTGGTGGAGGTCTAAGTGATGTAAAACTTTTTGGTTTAGATGTAGGAAACACAAATCCCTAAATATTTTTTTTATTTTTCGGGCTCTTATACCATATAACACTGTTCTAGGAGAAATATTTGCGTATGAAAAAGGTACGCAGAGTTGCGTACATTTTAGGTTATACGGAGGGTATAACTAGGTTACACTTAAGTTATACCTCCTTGTAATTCTTCTTGTAGCCTAAGTATAACCTAATTATACCCTCCGAATAACCTAAAATGTACATAACTCTGTGTACTTTTCCGTACTCAAATATTTCTCTTATTCTAGGGGGCTCCTAGAATGTGTTAGAGAATACATAGGTAAGTTGTATGAAGGGCCGAGGAAGCGTTAGGAATGATAGCAGCTAATTTTTGGCATCAACAGTGGCAGGATAGCAAACCGGAAGTGAAAAATTAAGGTCTTCTCCTTCCTGCTGTCAAACAGCAGTAGCAAAGAGCAAATGGTAAAATGGTGAGGGATGGGCGGCAAGGAGAATCCGCCACATGTTCCTAAGCAAGATACAAACACCACTTGCAAAAGAAAGATGATATAGTATTCTAAAAAGCATAAAAAAGATAACGTCTCCAAACACAAGCATAACAATCAAAATTGTCTAAACAATAAAAACACACACATAAACAAATACCTCATAGCAGGAACCCTAATTTGAAATAATGAAATTGGAAAAAAACAATAAAAAAGAAAAAAAAACAGGTTGAATAAAGAATCGGCAACACTGTGGTTCAGTACTCGCGACATCGCATGAGTTTCCCAAATCACACGATATCACAAAATAGGTTCGATCGAAATCGCAATTTACACAATTTGAAAGCTCCGCGTCAACCCAATTTAGAATAAACCAGGTAAATTTAATTATTTTAAAATACGCCGTAATTTTTGCATCCCTCGAAATTTATCCAATTTGTTTTTATAAAGTTATACATTTTGAATCGATCAACTTGATATATAGTACCATATATAAATCATTAATATATGGGTTTATAAAAAAATATAATTTAATAGATTAACTTAATTAACCTAAATTCTTGATTAAAATGAGTAACCTTTGTTAATTTAAAATCTCAATTATTGGAGCATCTCCACTTCCGGTGAGATGCATTTGTTTAATTAAGAGTCTGTTCGGGGCAGCTATAATTGTTTAAAGAAAAAGCTCTAGGAGAAAGAAACTGCTATAGAAAATCTATTGTCAGTAAAGTTGTGTTTGTTAGGTTAGTTCGATTTTGCATTACTTGTGTTGCAGTTGATTTTAAAATAAATACTATATTGCCCATATATATAAATACATACATACATATTTAAGAGAAAATGGTACAGATGGGTTGTATGAGTGGGCCCAAACAGGCACCCAACCCACACGGTACAACACAAAAAAAAAATAATAATAAAAACCCAAAAATAGATAGTACATATAAGAACAATCGAGTCGACCCAATTTAGTTCTATCTCTGCCTCTAGTTCTCGGAAGGGAACCAGCTAACAAATTGGAGAGATGCGTACCATTGCCCGAAGTAACCAAAGTATCATCCATTAGATTCCTTAGCTTGAGTAAATCTTCATTCTTCTTCTTCCTCCTGAAACTGTAGACCTGTCATTCATCATCCGAAAATTGTTGCTCATTCGGATGAGGTGGTGTGGTAGTGTTGTATAGTGTTGTAGTAGAAAAATTGCCAACAGTTGTACCCACAATAGGTTCTAGTGTATATGTGGTATGAGTTGTCGCCTCAATCCCAGATACTCCCTAAAAATGGGGAGCTGCAAGGTTCTCCTGATTATCAGTTCGTGTAGGTAGGGATCCTTCAGTATTGTTTTCAATAGGGTTTGAAAGTGTAGGTTGCTCAGCAGAACCATCCAACTTCATATCAATCACAGATACAGTATTTTCAGAGGGATCCACCGGGGCAATTAAGTCAGACACCAAATCCTGTCCTATGGTAGTTTTCTCTCCAGGTGGAACAGATATGTCCAGAGCAGTGGGGTTAGATCCATCTGTATTCACTTGATTTTTAGATTTCAAATTAGAATGAAGATTATGGCATTTATCAAGTGTATGCCCAAACATCTTACGATGTGAACAATAAGGATGTCTATGCTCCATGACGATTTGTTCTCAATATCCATTATAAGTTATGCCCAACCAGACTTCAGTAACATCAGGTAAAGTAATATCTTTTTCCACAAGTATTCTAGCCACTGAATGTTTGGTTAGGTTGAAAGTGAGTAGATCTAACTTCATAGGGTCCCCAAGTATGGCCCCAATAGAGTAAAGAACTAAATGATGAAAAAAGTGCAACTTGAGACCAGGTAAACTAAACCATACAGATATAGTAGAAGATTCATGATTATGGTCAAAATTAAGAGACCGCTTGAGTAACTTCATTGATTTGTCTGCAATGTTAAGATATTTTTTGAAGAAAATCCGAGTGTAGTCTTCAGTCATGGTTAATTGAAACAACACGTGTCTCTCATCCATGAGCCCCTCTGTTAGTTTGAGATCATCAAAACTTTTCCTGATAACTTTAATAGGTGGGTGACCCCACCGAAATTTTCAAATAAGAACGAACTTGAATTTCTCAATGAGGGTTGAAATTTCTAACTCAGAGAAAAAAAGTTTTGTTTTCCCGCTTAAGGGATGGTACATATGTGTGTGTGTGTGTTAATTGTAAGTTAATCATTTTAGAATTAACTCATGTATAACAACATAAATGAATTTAAGAAATTCTCAATAAATCAACAGTTCATATCCACAATCATAAATCAATGCATTGCAAAAACATGAATTAAATTAAAAAGTAAAAACCGTAATGTTCATAGTTCATTATGAAAATAAAAGACTAGTGTTCATAAACAGTAATATATAAAGTTCATGTACTATTATTTTAAAAGAAGTGACGATGGTAGTGAATCTGTTTATCAGGGACCATTGACATAAAAGTCTCCCTTTTAATAAGTTCTTCAATAAATTTCATTGCGAAAAGATAACGAGGAATGCCATCAAAATTTTCTTGAGTTCGATCAAACACTCATAGCATCAGATATTGACGGTGGTGTCTTGACTATAGTGGAGGAGAGGTGCATGCAAAGAAAAGTTGTGAAATTTGTCCCGAAAAAAATCTCGCACACATCATTTTCTTCCACCATTGTCTTCTGATGAAGATGGATGTTTAAGACTACTACTATGTTTGCATGACATTTCAACAGGATCATATGAGTTGCCTTAATCTTCACAATTCTAACTCTAATTAACTAAATTTTAATAACTTCGAGCATGAACACCCATGACAACAACAACTCCAAACATTATACCAAGTTTTTCTTCCAATTCAAGATATATACCAGAATATCTAAATTATTTAGCTTCAGGTAGTACCTATGATAAAAAAGAACGTAAGTCTAAATATAAAGTACTCATGCATGTGTTCAAAAAGAAGAATAAATTTTACATCTATCTTTTCTTTCCACCACTCGGTCGAGG